TACGAAGGAGCCGCCTTTTCGAGATTTGTAATATTTTAAAATAAAATGATAATTATGTCCCATTTCATTTAAATGCCTACATGATAATTGGTATTCTCTCTATTTATTTTTACTTATTTATATTTGATTTTTTTATCTCTTTAAAAATAATTAATAAAATAATAAATTTACTATACTATCTTTTAAATATTATAAATCTAGTATTTTGAAAAATAATTATAATTAATAATAAAGATAGATAGGAATTATCTGATAAACTCTATATTCTTGATTTGTTTAGAGGATAAATAAAAGTAAATTGATATTTTTAATATAATAAGCAAATAATTGATGGTGCTATTGTCTTTTTTTTCCTACTATCTTTGCTTGCCAGGAAACCCCATTTATATCCAAAGAAACGTTTCTTTATCGTGTATGTTGACCACAAGGAAACATCACTATTTAGTAGTTCTAACAAATTAAAATAAGCTAACTTTTCAAATATTTTCTCCGTCTCAATTTACGTGATACTGTTTATCTTGGCACAATGTTTAATTTTGTAATCAAAATTCTAAAATATTCTTTGACCATTAATTGTGTCACTATACAACATTTCATTAAGGATAAAAGGGGAATAATGAAGTTAAATTGTTTTTAATTATAAAAATGTGATATTCTTTTTAGAACGAACTAAAAAGAAAAAAAAAGTGTCACATAAATTGAGACAAACGAAATATTACTTTGACTCCGAGGTTGTGAAGAAGTCTGTCTAAGTGTTCTTATTTTCTTGTTAATATTATAAAAGTACTCTACAACGTGAAAATTTATGTTTATGCTGAAATCGGATTTTTGTTATAAGAAAAAGAAGACCAACAAGCTGGTGTGTGGTGCGCTGATTGAGATTTCTTCATTATTTTGTATTTGAATTTTGAAAATAAAAAAAAAGTTCAAAAATGTTAATTTCTCTGGTAATTAAGAAGAGTTTCATCTTCCTTAGCCTATGCGATTGACACGATGCTGGATTAGTTGGATCAGTAATTTCGAATACTAAATGGTTAAACTTTTAAAAATAAATGAAAAAACCTAAGTTTGTAGACATGGTCAAATTTAGGAAAATACTTGGTCACCAAGTACATGGACCATAGTCTAACCAAATGATGACAATATTCTCACAGTTTCCTTGCTACCCAAGCAGGCCAGGGATATTACTATTAGTTTTAGTATAAATAAATAAATAGAAGAAACAATAATGTAACAACTATCAATATTAGTAAATACTTCAATTTGTTGAAAACATAGAGCATCCATGGCACAAGTTGCTGAAATTCATGTCATGCAAAAACTTCATAAGGAGAAGATGAAAACGACATCGAAAATCGAAACGGCTAACAAGAAATTGGTTGGTGAGGAGGATAACAAGACTTGTAGTTCTGGAAAATGTTATTCTTGGTGAAGAAAGTTGGTTGTGTTACTAGACAATTGCTTAGTAGTGCAAGGAGCAAACCTGTAATTTGTGATATTTATAAAGATAGTACATAATAGTCAAAAATGACTATGTAATAGTTTTCTTGTCAAACTCACAATTGTACTTTCCTTTATATATTTGTCTTACTTCGAGTTAGGCATAAAATATAAATATTACATTCAAACTTGACCTCATAAGTTAACAAGTACGCACTTCAATTTTGAGAGGGCACATCTAGACCTGACTCCCCACCCCGTCGCGACCCTAACCCCGACCTCGACCTGGGAACCTACTCTCATTACCGACACCCAATTAATCTGACTCGGCGACTCCAATCCGAGACCATACCATCGACCTCGACTTGAGACTTGAGACTCAATTCTTGACCTCGACCCCAAACTCGACTCTTGGTCCCGACTCCGACTTTTGAACTCGATTCTTAACCCTGACTAGGGACCCAACTCTCAATTTCGACCCCGATCTTAGATTTGACTCAACCCCAACCCGAGATTTAAGACCTAAAATTTGACCTCAATCCCCGATTCATAATTCCAACACCAACTCGCGACACCCCGACACTAAACCCTAATTTAGGACATGGACTTGGGACACAACTATCCATCCCGACCCGAGAACCGACTCTTGACCCCAACTTGGGTTCTCGACTGCAGACCGTGATAGAGGACCTGACACCTAAACCGGCCCCGATTTCTGAATCTCAACTCCGGGATCTGACCCCGATTCTCGACTCTAGACCCTGAATCTCGACCCCGGGCCCCACCCTGGCTCAGTTTGGAAGTCGTGTCCCGAGTCAAGATCGGATCTCAGGTCCAGATGGGAGTAGGTGATGAGGTTGAAAGAGAGTTTCGAAAAATACTCAAGTCTATATGAAAAATATTTAAACCAACCAAATATGAAAAAATTAGAAAATGTTTTCCTTCGTACCAAACACAGCTTAGTCTCTGCAATAATTCTCCATAACATTAATTAGTTTTATATTCCAGTTTTGCCAATTTACACAATACAATATGCAATTAGCATATCACCACTAGACGTCATCAATCATATAACTAAGATAAACAAATTAGTAGAAACAGGGCTTTTGAAAATATTTTTAAATTTTTCCATTATCTTGATGGTGCACTAGTAGTACCATATAAGTGTTACTATTATATTATTCAAAATACACACATCATTAGTGGTCCTAACCAAAAGAATTAATCCTTAGTCAAATGTTACTTCGCCGCCAAGGTCGTCAAAAGATTGCCCAAGTGTTATTTTTTTGTTAATAATATTATTAAACTCTGCAATCATGAAAAATTAATTTCTCACTGAACTTCGATTTTTTGATGTAATAATTGAAATTCCTTCACTTTTTACGAAGGCCTTTGGATTCGAGTTCTAAAGGGAAAAAAAATAGTAGTAAGAGTTACGCCTTCTTTAGTGGGCTTATCCGACATGATACTAGATTAGTCACATTAGTGAATTTCACATACCAAATTATAATTTAGAAAAAGGACCTAAGTTGTAAACATGGTCAATTTTAGGAAAAAACTTGGTCTCCAAGTACATGGACCAAAGTCTAACCAAATGATGACCATATTCTCACAGTTCCCTTGCTTTCCAAGTTGCCAAGGGTAGTATAAATAAATAGAATTGAAACAATAATTTCACAAACAATTATCAATATTAGTAAAACTAATACTTTCACTTTGTTGAAAACATAGAGCATCCATGGCACAAGTTGCTGAAATTCATGTCATGCAAAAACTTCATAAGGAGAAGATGAAGACAACATCGAAAATCGAAATGACTAACAAGAAATTGGTTGGTGATGAAGATAACAAAACTTGTAGTTCTGGGAAATGTTGTTCTTGGTTAGAGAAGAAAGTTAATTGTGTTACTAGACAATTGCTTAGTTGTGCAAGGAACAAACCTGTAATATGTGATTATAAAGATAGTACATAATAGTAAAAAATAACTATGTAATGATTTTCTACTAGTGTAATTGTTAAAGTGATCCTTAATTTTGATTTTTGAATAAACAAAATTCATTTTCTTGTCAAACTCACAATTGTAACATGCTATAAAAGCCAATTTTATCGCGGAATTTTTTTAAAATGAAAAAAATAACTTCCCAGTAAAAATAGGAAAAACAATTTTCCAAAGTGACATTCCATATTAATTGCGTCCTTTCCTCCCTGGCTCCCCACTCCCCAACACGCCGCATCTTCACCCCACCATCATAGCCCCCATAGCCTCTCATAGTATTTGTCATATTTGTCTAGATTACATGCAAATGTTTTCAAGTATATTTGCTCAGTGAATTCTTCGAGTTAATTTCTCAGACAATCACTCAACTAAAACAACTTTCATCATAGAAAGTCACTCAATTTCATTTTGTAACATAAACATCTCTCAACAATTACTCAACTAACAACTTCTATCACAAAAAGTCACTCAACTTTGCTTTGAATACAAATGTCACTTAACTAATGATAAATATCTCAATTATTGTCATTTCACCTACAAAGTCACCCAACCAATTCAAACAATATTTTCGATAGATATTGATGACGTGAGATTTCTTTTTCTTTCACAAAAAAGTGTTTCCCTTTCTGTAGTTCTAGCATATATACCAAGAGACTACATGGTATCCCTTCATTCTGAATCAAAAAATCAGGAGCATAATTGTATCTTTATCTTCAAACTTTTCATATTTTTACATCTTTTTTCTCCTTTTTCACTAAGTTTTACTTTTAGGATACTTGTTAATGCATCCAAAAGACTCTCCAACTGAAAATTATATAGCACCATGAAATATAACAAAAGTGGAACAATTCCATTACTGAATTACAAGATTGTACAAGCACACCCGCCTTTTTTAAGGGAATCGTCCTTCAGCTTATCTGTGACAAATGTGTAAACAAAAACTATTCAGTACGCTTTCATAAGATAAGAACAAAATAATCAAATCCACGGCTCGAGAATCACTTAATCTAGTGCTCTGATACCAATTTTATCACGATACAAACTCGTAAGGCCTAGTGACTGGCACCCACTAGTCTAAATCAAGCGAACTAATAATATACATTCTAAGCTAGTAAATAACTCACAAGCAGGGGAAATCACAAGTCTAAAACATGTCTTACAAGCTTCCACAGATGCATAAATGTGGAACATGCTGGATGGTAAATATAAGTTAAACAATGTCAGGTAGCTAGTTAGGAAATAAGTTATTCATGTTAAAATTAATACAACGTGTGGCTTGCAAGTTCACATAACTAATACATTTATAAGATATGAGGGAATTTATGTATTATCTTTTGTGGGTAGAAGATAGAATAACTGATACATACATTACTAATACATGCATAATTCTAACCAGCTACCAAACGATCCCTTTGATGACTCAATGCCTGTCCTATCTAGTCTATGTATACTCTTAAAAGACCTCTAAAAGACGACAGCACAATGCATTAGAGCGTTCACTGTATACATAACACTGAACCATGACCATGAGCTAGAACTAGAAGTACAAAATATAGCAACTTACCATTGTTTCTATCATTAACGGGAGGCCGTACAACAACATGCATAGTGATGACACCTCCTGGAACTTCAATGGCTGGAAGTCTGGTTTCACCAAGAGTTTTACTATTTTCAAGGATCCTTCCAGCATTTATAAGCTTCACGTCATTTGTCGTCCTTGGACCATTATCTTTATCTGCCACAGTAAGATCATCTGTTAGCTGAGTTATTTGAGGCATGCTTGGTAAAGAAAACGTTAGAGAGCTCACTGAGATTTTCTGGACATGGGGGAAAAAGAAGAGAAAATAGCAGCACCATATGACATGCACTTCTTGCAATCCCGACAATGCAAATATTAGTCTCAACTTATCCTTTTCATTCCTTAAAGTAGTGGGAATCATACGTTCTCTTTGGCTTTAGAGCAAGGAAACAAATAATATGTGGATGTGGCTCAATTTTCATCCATTTTAGATTATTGGCACAATTATATACAAGAAGATCTGGAAACGCAAGAACGATTCGTAGTTCTAGAACTAATATTTTGTCATAAATAATATTCCCTCCATTTCAATTTGTTTGACTGGTTTTGACTTGGCACGGAGTTAAAGAAGTAAGAAGACTTTTGAATATTGTGGTTTCAAACTAAAGATATGTAGAATGTATCAAAATGACCTTGAATCTTGTAGTCTTAAACTAAAGATATGTAAAATGTTCCAAAATGTCATTTAATCTTGTGATCTTAAACATGTCGTGTGGGAAGTAGAAATAGAGAGTTCCCAAAAAAGGAAAGAGACATTTTTTTTTGAATGGACTAAAAATCAAACAAATTGAAACGGAGAGATATTAGTCATTGAAATTGGATAATCTCATTTGTTCCGCAAGTGTCTTCGCTTTTAGATCTTACATGCTCTTTTGATTGGTGGCACCTTATGTTAATCCAGACCAGCGGCAATTCCTTACTGGCCCCTGTTCTAGAGCCTATGTGAAAGAGGTAGGAAATAATGATCCCACCAAGGAATATACTAAAGCAATTCCTTACTGGCCCCTGTTCTTGCTATTAATCGTGACTATTACTCCTGGGTGGGATTATTATTTCACAACAACGGAAAGAACATAGAAAAATGATACCGTCAAAAGTTAACAAGATAAAGTTTCCATTTAATCATACAAGGAAGTGTCCCTTTTGAAGCCAAAATAATAAAGAGTATTTAGGTCGCTCTTCGTTTTGAAGTTTTGTAGTGTCTTTTCGATATTAATTGGCAGTATTTTATCTTTTGGTTGCTCCAACACTGTTTGTGTGAGCTCTCTCCATCATATCAGCCATATTAATCCCATAACATCCCACTCATTTGCTAGTTCAAACCTAATCAATCTATTTCTCCAAGTTAAAATCTTTTTGACGTTTTAATCTCTAGTGATAAATTACTATTACAGTTACTTGACAAGTTCAGAATCTAAGTACTAGGGTTGAAGCTACTTAGTTGCAAAACTTATTGCAGTCAGCTAATTTAACAGTGAGTTACTCCCTCCGTCGCAATCTAAGTGTCTTAGTTTGACTGGGCACGGTGTTTAAGAAATAAAGGGAGATTTTTGAATATTGTGGTCTTAAATTAAAGATGTGTCATGTGTGTAGTCCTTTAAATCTCGTGGTCTTAAACTTTCCATGTAGGATGTTGGTTTAGTCTAAAAAGGAAAGCAAGACACTTAAATTGGGACGGAGGGAGTAAACAAGAGAAGCAGAGGCTGGGAAAGATACTCAACAACTGGAGAAAACAATAATCCAACTCAGAGTAAGTACTCATGCTGAAGCAATTTAGTTGCTGAATTCACAGCAGCCGACTAATTTACAGTAAAAGAAAAATGAGAGATAGAGCTGAAGAAATAAACGAATTCAACTCAAAGGAGGTACTGCAGTGAAAACCAAGTCTAGTCCTCAACCACCATCTTTCTTTTTGGTACGGAGGAATAGGCTTTTAATTGACAGACCCCTCACCCCATTGAAATCAAGGTAAGCACATTTGATCCGACCAACCTGTCTAATGAGAGCAGGGTTCGATTTTCTAACATAAGCTAACTGGACTCGGAAAAGAGGTTGTGAAATCTATAAATAAGGAATGTATTGGAAAATCATTTCATTTAAACTGTTATTGATATTTTGAATGAAGGATTTTCGATTGTAAAACCCATGGAGTCCCCAGGTAAATCACTAAAATTTCTATCGACCGCTTTTATCTTTTCCTTTATCTCCTCTATTTATCTATTTCAAGCGTTCAAGTATCAGAATGCTCCCCTCCTGTTATACAGAGAGCTCACAAGACTGGACATGGCAAAAGAACGAAGGGATGCGCTGAACAACCAAAAGATGGGCAAGGGACTAAATAATACCAAAGCTTACATGCATTATTTTCTCTAATACCTTCTGCCAAACGACCCCTAGTAGTTAAAAGGATAGACTATACAACTAAGTTGCAGAAGTTTGCTAGACAAACTTTGTTGGCACAATAGGCTTTGGAACCCACCTTTCGTACTGAGGAGCCAAAATCTCCGTCTCAATCCTCGTCCATTCATCTTTTTTCTCAAAGAGATCTGTCATCTTGACGTTTGTGCGGAATCGTTTCCTGGGCAATTGCACACACAACCAAAAAGAAATTTCTAATGCAATCCAACTGGAGCAGCCCAAACTGCAACAAGTTGATGGATAATTGCTTCTGCTCTAAATACTTGACATGCATACCAGGACAAAGGTCACCATCCATGTGGTATGTCTCTTTCGGCATAATCAAGATGGAGCAGAACCGATGTGGTGCATTGTTGGTCCAGAGAACTTTCAGCTCCCCAAGCTTCATTTCAACATGGTGGCAAAAGGGTAAACAAACTTTGTTCCTTATTCAATATCACAGCTATTGTCACAAAAAAAGAAGTCAATGGCCCCTTACCACTTATGCATCCTCTTCTTCTTTTTTTTTGATAACCTCGACTAATTCCATGGGATACCTACTACCTCCCACCAACAACATGTATCAGGTAACTCTATCCACCAAGAGTAGAGTAGAACACAGGATACCTGTCACCTCCCACCAGCAACAGATATCAGGTAACTCTATCCACCAAGAGTAGAACAAACGGAAGAAATCACCTAGTGTTTTTGTCTTTGCTGGAAATTGAACCTGAGACCTCATGTGCTAAACCAACATCATTCACTACTAAGCCACACCCTTGGGTGCCCACTTATGCATTCTTTGTTTCGAAGCATTTTACGAATTTTAAGAAATGAAATAGGCAGAATCTCTAGTTAATACAACAATCAGGGGTCGTTTGGTAGAGAGGCGAGTTATGCTGGTACTAAATCCTACATAAGTAAAAATCTCTGTAATATTACTAATACATATGTAACTCTAACCAGCTACCAAACGACATTCAATCACCAATCATACCACAAATCACAGAATAATGAAGAAACAAAGTAGTGATTGAATATAGCTAAACACCAAAATATGCAACAGAAGAAGCAAACTCCATAAAAACACATATGTAAATACACATAATTAAGTATACAAGTGAGTAAATTCCACAACCTTTTGGCCACTGTGCAATCAACTTATCTTTGAGAGATGCCACTGTAGTGCTAGATGCATACTTATTTGGCCCAATATCACTTCCATCAGCAAGCCTAAATTTGATCTCAACCAGCTCTTGTACAGCCATCCAATTATCAATTTTTCATCAACCAATAAACACAAACAAATTCCCACTTCAAAATTTCCTCACTGAATCAAGAAAACAGAACAGAATATCAAAAACAAGCCAGATCAAAATACCTAAAAGAACAAGAAAATGAACAAAACACTTAAAATCACCATGACCCTTTACGATTAGATCCAAATAAACCATAAAGATTCAAACTTTTCAAACTAAAAAAGCTAAATTTGATTCAAACTGACCAAAATAACAAGAACCCACATCACAATTTCTCCATATTGTGAGTCTTGAAAGTTTCAAAATAAAAAATGATTTTTTAAAAATTTTGATTAAAACTGACCAAAATAACAAGAACCCAGATCACAATTTGTTACAATAAAACCAAAAAAAAAATGGAATAATCAATACCTAGATGTTCTTTGATTGATATAGAAAGAATCTTGAAACAGAAGGGTTAGGATTATAATAACCTGAATCTAACTGGCAAAATCTAATGATCTGGAAAAGGACACTTCTTACTTGCAGTAAAATCACTACAAGACAAATACATAGAAACATGGAAAGTTACAATCATGTCCCTTCAGTTTTAGATTTAGAAATTTGACCCCAAACATAGAAAACTTCTGACACTTTCCTGTCCTTAATCCTCTGTTCGGATTATTGTACTACACCAAAAATGATTTTTAGTACAATTAATTAGCGATAATAATTTAATTATTGAAAAATGTGTTTGTTAGAAGTAACAATGTTGTTAAAATTTATAACGATATTGGATCCAATGACAATTATATTATATTATATCATGTTAAAGAATACGACGTAGGGATAGTTTGATGCGTGAATGCTTGACTTAGAGATTGAACTAGCTACGCAGTAGGCGTCGTGAGTAGTCGAACAATTGAGAGGTTGTCAATGAAAGGGTCAAAGGTTGCACTTGCGATAATCCGTTGTATCATTTTTCGTAATTAAATAATATTACAAATTAATAATTTAAAAGATAAATCAATAAGAAAAGTAAGATACATGATAGAGCTGCTATAGACACTTTCTAAATATAATATTCAAAAAATATTATGAAAATTGTATCCTTTCATTTTATTTTTGATTTCTCACGCAATATCTACTTGCTTAGCTTTGGTTCCAACTAATTTGGATTTGTGTAGCTTTAAGACCCATTAAAAGGAGAAGCATTTTCTACGGGAATATAAAGGTTCAAATTTGATACAAAATATAATAACAAAAAAAACTCGATATATTTAAGAATATACGATCTTATTTAATTATCGAGGGTAAGAAACACACACAAAATTAATTATAACAGCACATTCATTATGAATTTATTGACTCTAAATTCTAAATTGATTGTTTTATTACCAATGTCATGATCTAAATTTCCCAAGTGTTGATATAGATTAAAAAGAATATTAAACAGAGAAAATTTTTCAAATATTCTCATTTTGATTGGTGAAAATATTTTGCAAAAACAATTTTTCCGTGAAAAACAAGTTATTAAAAATTAGGAAAATAAATTCCCTGTTAAAAGCAGGAAAACAAGCTCCTAAACGAAAGCCAGTTCAAAATTTATTCAGCCCAAATAGGTAGTAAAATATTCACAAAAAAAAGGGGAAAAAACTATCAATTGCAGAGTCATTGCCTGTAGTTATGTATTATATAAACTTATTGTCTATCCCGTGCTCGGATTCGAAATAATGTGTCAAATATTTCAAATCAATGCACTTTAAAAAATTCGATATGGATATAAGAATAATTTTGGAAAATCTAAACAACATAGCTTATTGCTAAGAGCCTAGCAAACAGGTAACAAAAGGTGATGTCAAGTCTTATATGTGAAGCTCAGACATATTTTATAATACACGCTAAGAGGAAGTCTATATATTCAAGACGTATGAATCACAATTGATCTCCAAAAGGCTTACGATTCCTTGAAAAGGATTTAGTTGAAGCAGGTCATACAATGTTAGACTTGGATCTAGTATTTACTCACTTGCTACTTGATTTTACCAACAACATTAGACTATAATTTAAAAAAGTTTAAATGATAAGTATTCTAACATACGTTTCTCATAAAAATTTCACCTTGTTCAAATAAATCACTTAATCAAAATTCAAAAGATTCATAAAATAAAACGATGACCATTTACAAAACAGCCATCCCAAAAGCGTCATATGTCTACTCAATCCCTTCACTTCCCACAAAGGAATTAAAAAGTTTAACAAAACTTAAAGTAAACAAATTCCATCATAAGCTAACATTTGTTCTGAATTTTTTCAACAAGAATCTTCAAATTTCTAGCCAGATCAGTCTTTTCCTCACTTGTTGTCTCTTTTATACCCTAAGAAATATAAATGAAAAAAATATTAATTTATCAACCCCCAAAAAAACAACTACATATACGTGTGCACGTATATATCAACGTAAAATTATGAATAAAAATTGCTTACCAAAATTCAGATTCAAATCCGTAAGGTGTGAGGTAGGATCCACTGGTTGAACATTCTCAAATGTAATGTTACGAATTGGCCTGTAACACCATTTTTTTATTTTAATGAATTAAAAATAAAATATAATCAAAGCACCTGCGTATCGCACTCCCTCAATTTTTGAAATAGACTAATAATAAAATATAAATTGAGACGGAATATAATTACATTCTCTGTGGATTTCTTGTTGTGTCAATACTTAGTGGAGCATTTGGATATTGACGATTTGTCTCCTGCATTCATTTCATAAAATAACAAAAATATGTTATTGCAATATGTTTTTGAACAATTACCTAAACAAAATATTTTTCATATTAAGATAATTATTTTTAGAAGGAAATTACTTGTATAAATTAATTTTTGAATCGAAATAAATAAATTAGAGAGTAGACATACTGAACGTGAAAAGGATCCACGCATTAATCCTGGCATTCTTCCTCGCGGGTACCTTGCCTGCATTTATTTAACATATATAAATAATTTGATTCAACGTGAAATTTACAAAAATAAAAAATAAAAAATAAAAAATTGCGGATTTGTAAACATGTTTTACTACAAAATAACATTTGTGTTATATAAACTTTGATTAAGGATTACTCAAAAATTTAGAATTGATTATTTTCAAATATAAAAATATGTCAATTAATATAGAAAAAATAACATTAAAGAGTAAAGAAGAGGAAATAATAACATTTACCCTTGAACCACGACCTCTTGGATTTCTTATTGAAGGAATAGCAGGCCTATTAGTATTGATATTGTACACCTGTTAATAAAGAAACAATAAAAGTAGCATATATACATAAATATGTTGAGTTATTATTACTAATTAAAAGGTAATAGAGATATTTAATTGTAATTTTATATAATTTATATTCCTAAAAATTAAAATCTATTTGGTCAAAAAGGAGATTGTAAACAAAAGAATGATATGATTTATAAAGAAACATACCGTTGGGGGTAAATTATGGCTCATAGTAAATGAGAGTTGAGGAGCAGGATTAAACACGGGCCTTAATAAAAAAAGAAGATATGTATTAATTATCCGTGAGAAAATAACGTTTATTTACCACCTTTCTATCTTATTTCTGAAAATTAATCACTATCGTGAAGTTTTGTATTACACAAATGAAATTCCATTACAATAAATTAAAGTTCCACTTGTAAATTTTAAAACTTTATGACGATGAATATTTTTCAATTACAAGAGAAGTTGATTGTAGAGTATCATACGTATGTGTGAGAGAATATTTAATACCTTGAGGCAGAATACATATTGTGTTGATTCAACACAAATTCCGATGGGGCTCGGATGCTAATAAGAAAATAAAAAGATATGCATTAGTTATTTTATAAAAAAAAATAGTGTGTATTAATCATTTTTCAAATTTATTTCTGAAAAGTAGTCACTATCGTGAAGTTTTGAATTTCACAACTGAAACTTCATCACGATATATTCAAGTTTCATATATGAGTTTAAAACTTTATAACAATAAACATTTTTCAATTATAAGAATTCTGAAAGTTTCATTTTTATTATAGAAGTTGAGTGTAGATTATTATTATATACATGTGAGAGAATACTTAATACCTTGAGGCAGAAAACATAGCTCGTTGATTCACCACAAATGGATTTAATGGGGCTTGGATACTGATAAAAAAATAATTAAAAAAAGATACGCAATAGTTATTCATAAAAATAGCATTTTTAACACTTCTCAAGTTTATATATATATGTGAGAGAATACTTAATACCTTGAGGTAGAAAACATAGCTTGTTGATTCAACATAAGATTTGATGTGACTTGGATACTGATAAAAAGAAAGAAAAGAAAAAAGATATGCATTAGTTATTCATAAAAATAGCATTTTTAATACTTTTCAAACTTGTTTATGAAAAGTAATCACTATTCATCGAGTCTTGACAACTGAAAATCCATCACAATATATTGAAATCTCATTTCTGAATTTAAAATTTCATGATAATGAATATTTCTCAATTACAAAAGTTTTAAAATGGTATTGTGTATATTTTACCCTTGTTATAAAAATTAAGTGTAGATTATCATATGTGTGTGAAAGAGAATATATAATACCTTGAGGCAGAAAAAATATTATTTCGATTCAACACAAATGGACTTGACGGGGCATGGACACTAATAAAAAGAAAAAAGAGATATGCATTAGTCGTTATTCAAAAAATGGTGATTTATTGATGGTTTTTCGATCTTGTTTCTGAAAAATAGTCACTATCTTGAAGTTCTTAATTTCACAATTAAAATTCACTTACAATATATTCAAATTTCACCTGTGAGTTTAAAATTTTACGAAAAAAAATATCCTTCAATTACAAAAGTTTTGAAAATAGTTATTTTGTAAGGTTTATATATGTTTGTTATAAAAATTGAGTGTAGATTATCATGTGTGTGAGAGAAAATTTAATATCTTGAGGCAGAAAACATATCATGTTGATTCCACACAAATGGATTTGTAGGGGTTTGGATGCTAACAAAAATAAAGCAAAGAAAAAAAGATATACAATAGTTATCGTAAAAATAGTGTTTATTGATCACTTTTCAATCTAGTTTTTGAAAAATAGCCACTATTATAAAGTTCTGAATTTCACGACTAAAACTTCATCACAAATGAAATTAAAAAGAAAAATAAGAAAAAAGATATGATAAACCACGAAGTATGTTTCTGTTAATTTTATATTATAATATGTTGTTGGTTTAATTATTTTATAATTAGAGCAAATAATCTCACATATATATATTTCTGATTTAAGATCCATTGATAGAAAATAATAACACATAAAGTAGAATAGAGAAAATATATAATTACGTTCTCCATGGTGGAATATTTGGATATTGCATGTTTTCTCCCTCAACGACTTCTCTCTGCATTAATAAACAAAAAATATAAAATAATAAAAATGTGTTATGCGTTGTATGAACAATTACACAAATTAAATATTTTGAAATTAAGT